ACCACGCCGCGGGCGCGACGATCAAGCTCCTCCGCGAGGCGCGGCGCGTGTCGAAACGCTACGTCGTCGTCCTCGAGGACCTCCAGGAGACGGCCGCCGACGCGGAGAACGCGCACGCGCACGAGCCCCTCGGCGCGTTCCGGACGCGCGAGGAGTGGGTCGACCTCTTCGTGCTCCTGGGATTTTCCGTCGCGGACCACGGGCCCTGCAACGCCGGCGGCCTCGCGGGCTTCCGCCACACGATGGCGTTCTGGATCCTGGAGAAGGTTCAGGACGCGCCGCCGCGGCGTCGCCGGCCGGCGCGGAGGCGGCGCGTCTCCGAGTTGCGGCGCGAGCTCGCGGCGACGTAATCGCTTCAACCTGTGGCGTTGGAATTCCCACCTAATGCTTTCGTGCCTACGAAAGTTTCCTCCTCGCAGTGGCGGACCGCCCACTGCGCGGGAGTGCTCGACGGCATCACGGCACCTTCACAGTTTTCGCCCAGAAGTCAACGGTCGGACTCAGTATGGAGGGCAGCACAACAACAGCCCCCTACGTGCCCTGGTCCGAGGAGGAGTCGTCGGACGAGGAGCCGCCGGCGACGGATCTGCCGTCGCGCACTGTGCCCTGGACGCCGTCGGCGTCGGAGACGGCGTCGCGGCCCCAGTCGCGCATGGACACGGCCAGCACGTCCCGGCCCCAGTCCGAGGCGGCGTCGCGGTCGTCGTCGCGGCCCCAGTCCGTGCTCAGCCAGCTCAGCGACCGGCTGAACCGCATGGGCGGCGTCATCTCGCGCGGCACGCCGAGCGGCACGCCGAGCGCGGGTCTGTCGGGCCTCGCGGGCGCGACGCCGCCGACGACGGCGCCCGAGCCGGAGCCGGAGCCGGAGCCGGAGCCGGAACCGATGATGAAAAAGAAGCGCACGCCGCGCAAGACGCCGCGCAAGACGCCGCGCCACCGGTCCGTGTCGCCGGAGCCCGACTGGGTCGACGCGCTCGGCACGCTCGAGGACCCGTCGAAGACGCCGCGCGCCTGGGAGGCGGAGCCCGTGAGCGTCGGCGTCGTGCGCAAGCACTATCGGCTGCGGCGCCAGGGCGAGGAGGCCGCCGCGCGGGCCCGCGTGCGCCGCGACAACGAGCTCAAGGGCAAGTTTCGCCGGTCCGGCGCGCGGGCCGACGGCGCGATGTCGTCGTCGTCCGACGACGACGACGACGAGGCGTCGAAGCCCGTCGTCGTCGACGACCCGGAGATCACGAAGCTGTACGGGTTGGCCTACGGCGCGGTGGCGAACGACGCCGGAGCGCGGGACGCGTTGGTCGCGCGCGTCGACGCGGAGCTGCGGAGCGGCGGGCCCGTGCTCCTCGTGGCGCACCCGGACGACAACGACGGCGAGGCTGCGAACTGCCGGCTGGTGCTGCGCACGCTCCACGCGGCGTGCAACCCGACGCTGACGGACCCCATCCCGCCCGTGCCCTTGGCGCGCGCGGACGGCTCCGTCGCGATGAGGCTCGACCCGAAGCGGCGGCGCGAGCACGCGTTCCCGCTGCCGATCCCCGCGCCGGAGGGGCGGGGGCGGCTGTCGGTGTTGTAAACAAAAAAAAGACCTGGAACTGCAACGCCTACTGCAACGCCACTGCAATGAGGCACGTGACGAGTTCTTGCAAGGGGATATAAATCTAGATGGGGTGGCAGGCGAAACGCGAGGTCCTCGTACTACTCGGGGCCGCCGCTAGCGTTTTCTTTCTTCTTCCACGCCGCAGCGCGCGGGCTGAGTGCAACGATGGCGGGTCGCGCGGCGCGGCGCGGCTGCGGAACCCTTCGACGGGGCGGGGCAGCGAATTTGGGCTGCTGAGATCATTGCGTTGGCTCGCGAGCGCGACGGTTGTTCGGCGGCGGGACGAGAGGGCGGCGGTGTGAGTCGAGTGTGCGATATTTTCTTGTCCTTAGAGGTTGGAGGCGCCCTATGGGTACCCGCGGGGGGCTCGAAACCTTCAGGACACACTTTTCCCACGATCTCAGAGCCTGCGCAGCCCCGGCGCCGACGGTGTCGCAACACAGTTTCTCGGGCAGCGTGCGGGCATTCGAGGTCGAGAACTTTTCGTGTCCTGAGATGCTCGAGCCCATCCATAGGTACCAACGAAGGGCTCTGCAGCGCCAGCAGACGGTCCACGACCATCATCATCGCGAACACGTCCAAGAGCTGCCCCAAAACCCCCTTCCTCGCGTGGCGCCAAACCGGACACGGTGCCCTCCAGCGCGCCTCGGTTT